ATTTTAAAAATACATCATAATTATCTTCATATAAACTAAAAGTATTCTATAGATTCAATAGAATCAATCTTAAAGTGATATGAAAGGAGTTGAAATGTTGTCATACTAAATGTCAGTTAAAAAAAAAAAAAACAACACAGAAGCTCATTAAAAATATTATTTACTGACCCTTTGCCTAATGCTCAGCAGCAATGTTGTTAAGTTCAATATCTTTGAGGCTGAATAGATACAAAAAGCCACTTAAGTAACATTGAAATTTTTAAAAGCTAAGCATGTGATCGGGAAAGGATACTAAATTAAAATGGAAAGAAATAAAAATAGACTCAGCCTACAAACACTGACAAAGCCTGAAGGTATACATAACTGCAAATGGAAAGAACAAGGAAGTGGTGTGTGTCAGTCTGGCTAATAGATGAGATGCCAAAAGTGGCACAAACAAGTAAGATCTTTCATTCAGAATATCAAAATCCTCTTCTAGTGATGTCCTTTGAAAAGAGCCTAAAATTCATTTCTCCTTATCCACTTGTAAATGGAAAGTCTTAGAAGTCCAGGATGCGGTAACATGGAAGTTGAAAGGGAAATAACTGAATCTGTAAACACAAATAATTAATTCTCCACATAGATTAGATGCAGGAAATATGTGAGAAAAATCTACCAAAGAAAAGAACAATTAAAGAAGATCAAAACTTCTCTAAAAAACAAACCTGTTTCATTATGATGCAGGATGCTGGAGAAATGCCTCCTCTTTCCTATTAAGATTACTTATTATTACAGCTAAAATACTTTGGGTATAGCTGAACTGTATCACAAGATAGCAGAGCTGTGACCATGACAATACCTGAGCGGGGCATGTGCAACCCTGTGTGACGCTACTTGGGTAACTGCAGCCTTGAGAACCTCTCTCATTCACAGTAAATCCATGCCACAGCAAAAGCATGAAGAGAAAACGCACTGACCTATATACAGTGTATTAAAGCAACAAGGCACCCAAGCCTAAGTGTCATGTGTCCAAGAATTCTTTGGGAACATAAAAACAACACAATGCAAATGATTATACCTCATTAAAATTTGTCACTCTTACAAGTAAGCTGAAGAATGACAAACTGGAAGCTAGCTATAGTGTTGAAGGTTAACTGCAGGGCATCTGAAGACCTCATGCAAAGATCAGTTGTTTAAAGCATTCATTGATAATATGTAATGTAGAATGACTATCATTAGGGCAAAATCAGACTGCGCAAAGCTACTCTGCTTAACCAAAACTGGAAGAAACTGAGAAACTTCAGAAGTAACAGCCTAAATTAAGTAAACTAAGCCTGAACGCAGATAAAATCCAATAGAAATTAATGCAAAATCATTCTTTCTATTTGAACTATTCATAGGCCTTATGAGAAACTTAACTAACTGCATATGTGCAGGAAGGTGGCTTGCTATTGTTCTGTACAATCCCTCTGTAGAGTGGGCAAACTTATCCAAAATGCTTATAGAAAATCAGGGTGCCTAAAGTCTGTGACATTACAAGTACTTCAGTAACCAGACATATAAATGAACTCTGAGGCATTCATAACAGCGTCTTTCCATGTGGATTTTCTGATGTCTGTCTAGGATGAAGTTACACTCCCGCAAGGATACTATTGTCACTCATTTTTGTTTAGCTTTATATTTTTGAGACTCACTTCGCTTTCTTCAAGTGACTGAAGTTGGCCCATAGACTCAAAAGTTTTAAGGGGACCACAAAGTCCTATATAAAATATCACTACCTAAGTTTGTTTCTTTAAGAAATCAAACACTGCTATTGTGAAAACAGAAAACATGCCATCATTTTAAGTACTGTATTCTGATCACCTCTTCTCCTAACAGAGTTCAAAGACTCAGTGATTTACAAGGTAAAATAATCTGTACAAAATAAACGTTCGAAAAACATTTTCTTTAGAGGTGAATAAAAAAGAAAGGACATGATAAAAGTACAAATCATTTCTAATAGGGAGTAAGAAGATCAGGAATTTTCTTCCCTCTCTATTAACAGAATGCACAAGCAAACTTTCGAAGGAGTTGAATGACAATAAATTGAAACCTAAGGTTTGCCTTCAGAACTCCCTGTCATGAGCTGTAACTATATTTGAAGCTCTTGTGATTTAAAAAAAGGCATAGCATTTCAAAAAGAGCAAAACTATTTGCCTTACCAAAAAAAAAAATCAAACAAACAGCATATAGAAAGAGAGACAAATCTAATGCTAAAAAGAATAAACCAGCTTCTAAATGTCAGAAGGACAAACTTTAGGATTAAATTGTTGCACATGTCTCAACAAGAATTTTTTTACGTTCATCTGAAGCACCTATTTCTGGTCAGCTTCAGAGCTATACTGTCAAAAAGCAAAGACTCACTATTCCTACAGTGTGTCAATGTGCCAAAATGCCAAGACTCTGCATGAGACTCCAAGCAAATATACGCTGCCTTATACTTACTACACTTCCCACAGTGGTTACAGGGATTTTTTTTAAGCATTACAGTTTTAAGACAGGACAATTGTTTTAACAAGGGTTGTCATAAACTGCCCCTTCCAGTTGACATTGCTTCCTAACAAGCAGCAGCACACAGCGTGCACACTCACAGATCACACTTTAGTAGTCACAGGGAACATACCTATCACCATTACATTTTTCTTTAAAGTTCCTGCAGTTTTCTCCTTCAACATTCTGAATACTAAAGCACAGCACTGTTTTAAAATTAGCCCAGGCCTCTGTTTTCACCTAATAATGAATATCTAGAAGTTGTTTTAACCAAAAGATCAGAATCCTTCAGAAAAATTACACTTCTCAGCACATTTCTTCTGACTGCAGGAGACACAATAACAAGTCTCCCTTTACCACAGCAGAAGGCACCAAGGAAAGCTCATACGTTCTGTCCTTAATCACACCCTGATGCAGCACAGTCTGAACTAGAAGAAGAAGTAAGTAACAAATCTTCCTCACATAGCTGAAAGAAACCATGAGATTTATTTTCAAATTTGGAAAAAGAATGCATGCAGGCTGAACAGAAAAGCTAAGGCTTTTTAGCTTTTCTGCTATCTCTGATCTGCTTCTTCCCTGACAAACAACTGACCTCGCACCAAAAGCTGGCATCTGCATGGTACCCTGGCTTCAGGTGTCACTGACACCTCCAGTTGGCTGCACCTGGCCACTGCTAAGGGAGCAAGCATGGTGCAGTAGCCATCTCCCTGGCTTCAATGCCATGTCACATGTCATAGCCATGTGCATTTCTGTGTGCACATGTGGGATCTCGTGTTATGACACAGTACTTCCATGTTATAACATTGCCTTGTGTTTCATGGCTATGATGACTCCACAAATTATAGCATTGTAAGTTTTAAAAGAGCTTACTAGATGGCTGGTTGACATTTGAAGGATGAAATTCAGTAATGAAATGAAAGTAAGGAGACTATTTGAACTTTTTAAGCCATTTAAATTCTTGCCAATGATCATCTACATGGCAGTCTCTTTTATTTCAAAGGTATACGTCTCTAAAGTACTCTGGGCTGGGCACTTGTGCTCTCTATGAGGCACTGCCAGTAGTTCCAGTGATGAATTGGTTACACAAAGGCTTATGAGTGTGTTACAAATTCATACCAAAAACAAGCACCTCCATTGCATCTCCACTCAGCATCCAAGTTTTCTTGGAAAAAGGGAACACACAGTAGTTCCTCTCTGTTCTGACTTGAACAGAAGATCTAGTGCAAATCAAGACACAGCACTTGATCAAACAATAACCCATTTAACTAAGAATAGGTCTTCCTCAACCCTGGCATCTTGTGGAGCAGAAGATTTCTTTCTCCTTGGGGTCCTTGACAGCTGTTTATCAAGAGGGAGCCATAGATGCAAAGTGTCCACAGGCTTCAGATCTCTCATGTGGAAGACTACATCAAGGAGAAGTGAGTTTGGACTGAAAAAATATGGATGCTGTGTATGTTGGGGACCTGAAGAAATATGTTCTCTAGGCTGCTGCACAGAGTCTGAAGAAAAGATAGCTAGATAGTGGAGGAGCATAATTTATGTGGAGCTGACACTTCTCAGCAATGAAGGCTCTGAGGACATGGCTGGCAAACAAGATAGAGTTGATGAAGTTGTGCTTTGATCATGGTGAAAACACATTTTCAGCATATTCTTAAATGTAATTTGAAACAAGATGTGTGGCTTTTTCAGGCACATCCATTCCTCTAATTTCTTGTCAAATGCTTGTGTTACCATTAGACTGCTAGGAGTTACAGGCAAGGAACATTTCTCTCATTTTCTTTTTCTTTGGGAAAGCTGGCACAATGTAAGTGCAATGACCAAAACATAAGCCTCAGTTATGATATGGATCCCATTGTGGCTACAAAAACCTCTCTGTAAAACTACCATC